ACTTTATTAAACTATGCTGCAAGGGCATTAATGTACTTCATAGCAATGGCAAAGAAAATGTTCTTTATTACTTGGCCAGGGGACTTGGAATGTCACGGAAAGATGGTTCAGGTCCACGGCTCCCTATTGACAAGATGCCGTTTGGATTATTAAGCTACAATATTCGCTATTTTGCTATGGACACTGTGAACAACATTTCATCAGACCCCCATTTTGTGGAGTGGGAGACAACTATGTTCTCCAACTTTGGTCATAAATGGATTTGCTTACAGAGGGGACCAGGGTTTGCCTATGATGAGACTGTTGTTGATGATTCCTCAGCTGCAGCTTGTAATAGCACCAGCAACACAAACAGCAGTGAGCAAGGTTCCTCAAGTGTCCTTCAACAAGCATGGAATGAAACATTTCAAGTGGGTACCCAGAATGGGGTACAAGATGAGGTTGAAGACCAAGATACCACTAGAGAGAAAGTTGGGGCAGATGACTGCCTTGATGTAGAAACCCTTGTTGACACAGATGACCCTCTTGAGGTTGGAGCCATTGTTCAGACAGGAGATGGGATTGAGGTTGAAACTGTTGTCGAGGCAGGAGACCCTCTTGAGGTTGGAACCATTGTTGAGGTAGGAGATGGGCTTGGGGTTGAAACAATTGTTGAGGCAGGATATGGGCTTGAGGTTGAAACCCTTGTTGAGGCAGAAGACGAGCTTGAGGTGAACGACCAGGTCAATGAAGAAGTGAGCTACCTTTGGGCACGACTTGGTTCTGAAGAAAAAGAACAAATTGCAAACGGCGATAGACCAATAGAACTGGAAACATTTCATGGTATTCGCCCACAGGCACATAAAAAGAAAAGGACAGAAGTGGATCCGATGAAAGCTAAAGTCAATGTTGCAGGTCATTCTGTAAGGACTCTTCAACGTCGTATACAGGCTGCTGAGTTTTCAAGAGACACAAATGTTCAGGTGAGTGCACATATGATTAAATAGATATGAAATATATTTGAAAAACATATATATATATATAATTATACTCCAAGAGCTAGGTTATTCGAACATTTACTGCAACTCTGAGTTTCATGCTTCTTGCGAAGCAATCTTCAGGCAACAAAAAAATGTAAATGTTCGAATAACCTAGCTCTTGGAGTATAATTATTCTTAGCTCTAGCTCTGCTATTGAGCACTTTATAGTAGATGAGGATTTCTCTCCACTTGTTATTCTTTTTTTCTTGCTAGGTCGCTGTTCTTAAGAAGATTAAAGAAAGAAACAAAAACGGACGTTGGTGGATTAAAGCAGATGCATGTGACCTGCGAAAGGGACTGCGTGAGTCAATGCGTCATGAGTGGGCAGGAGATTGTGACCTGGGAGATGGAAAGCTTCAAACTTTATATCAGGAATACATGGACAGAAAAACCTTCTATGGTGGATTAGGACTTAAGGATCAAGAGTAAGAATGAAAGAAGATATGGCGCTTTGTGATTTCTGGTTTGGATAACGATTTAAGGTTTCTGGTTGGTGGAGAGAAAGCTGCAAAAGACAAGTATGCAGCTAAACAACGTCAGTCAAATGCTTCTGAAGATGGCATGTTTGCATTGGCTTGGGAGTGTGAATGCTTCCAGACTCTCATTAACATTAACAAAGACCTAAAGTCTTCAATTTCCAGCCTGCACTTAAGAATTTCAACAAACCAGAGAGATGGTAATATTGCTGGTGATCTCACTTCTTTACGCCAAAGGCTTCTTTCCTATGCTAAGGATCTTTTTTCCAAGCATAGAGAAGCTGCCTCTCATCTCATGGTGTTCATGATAGCCGATGAAAAACGCGACATGAAGCCCTATGCTGTTCCTGTCACGATTTATACCTTACCACAGTGTGACTGACAATAAACTGCGTGAACTGTGTATGGAGACTACGGAGTGCCATGGTAAATTTGGGAATGCTTGTGGTTGGTGAGTTAAGATTTTTCTTTAATTGTCTCTGTTAACTACCTTAAGTTTATACAACAGAAAGGGGCTGCTCTGCTGCTTAAAAGCCACCTTTCTCAGACCAGACTGGCATAGCGCTGAGTATATTGGTACTTTTAGAGTGCATAGAGCCTGTTGAATTTTTAAATAATTGTCATTTTTTTTACTCAGCAACTGAATGGTGATTTGCATCTTCACCCGCCCCCCCCCCCCCACCTCCCAAAATTGTAATTTGAAATAAGCCAAACAACAATTTATTTATCTGATTTTTGTTTGTTTTAGGCACTGTCACAGATGGAGAATTTAACTCCATCCGCACTATGGGATCAAAAGAGCTATTTCCATAATTCAAGTGATGATGGATTCAAAGTCAGAGGCTAGAAGCACCAATGTTAATGCCATACGGAGGTATTTCACACCAGTTGCAGTCCCAGGTAACTTTTCTTTAACTGATGTTTTATCTATGCCAAAATCTGACCACTGGAAATTCTTCACTATCATATGTGTGTGTGTGTGTGTGTGTGTGTTGTAGGTGGAAATGAAATTCAGGTTAAAATGATTTCAACCTAGATTGATTTGAATCTCCTTTGTTTGAAGAGGCAATTCGCATGTATTTTAAAACCTTAACTTTTCTTCCTAACAGGTGCCAATGGGACATTTTCTGTAAGAGGTCAGGCTCAAAACCCAGCCATTCCGGTTGAGGACATTGTATGGTTTTTTATGACTTCATGAATGCTGATGGCAATCAAGTACCATTTGAAAGCGCCATCCACATTTTAAAACGGAAGCTGTTTCCTGCCAATTATGACCCTTATCCTTGGGATGCAAAAAGTATATGCTGTAGTTTGTAATATCTTTCTTGTTTTATGAGCACTATTACCCTCAAATGGTACGGCATGAAGTCCAACTACTAATTTAAAATTGCATATTAAATAACAAAATTTAAAAATGAAATTATTATTACATTAAATCTCTGCCTGTGCACGGGCTGTTATAGAGGATCAGTAGGGCCAGTTTATAGGCTACCCATGGCCTAAGGTGCCATGTACTGTCAATGTACCTTTCAGTTCTATTTATCATTTATTTTCAATTGTTTCTTTTCCTTTAAACAGTGGCTGAAGAGGATACCAAAGGTTGTCTTAAGTCTTTGATGGCAACATACTTGTTCCGCTACAAAATAAAACGAATGAAAGAAGAATTAAATGTGGACTTCAGCAAACACCTTTACCAGCCTGAATTGTGTGATGCCACTGGGGAATACATACATGAGAGAGAAGACCACAACCATGTTCTTAAACGTATCACTGAATGTCTTCGTGCAGGTGAAATCCCAGGGGTTGACACCGCTACTTCAGAGATGCCCTGCATGATGCTCATTCAGGTTAATAACAATTATTTGTGTTGTGTCGTAGTCTATTAAAGGCCCTTGTTCATCCAAAATGCAATGTGCGCCCAAGCTTATTTTTGCACTGATGGAAAATCTAAAATTAACGTTCCAGGCAATCATAATGCTACATTGAACAATTGAACCTGTTTTAAAACAAAAACACAAACACACACAGCAGATTGGGTGAACATGTACCTTTAATCATGATGTTTTGATAATAATGATTCATTTGACCCCCTCTGGGTTTAAATGAATTCTTGTATTCATACCTGTGTACTACAGGTATATTGATGACATAGAAAATGGCATTCTGACATTTCTTGCTTTGATTATTTTTTGATAGTTCGTGAAAGGGTTAATAGCCTTTTTTTTTTGTCTTTTCACATTATCCTTATATGAACTGATGTAATTCATTCTAATAATTACTATCCCTTTAACTCCCAAGGGTGCCAAAGAAAAAAAATTCAAGAAAAATACCAGATTTCATTTTGTAAAATATTGAAAAACTAATGTTTCCGTAAAAAATGTACTGCTGAAGAGGTTTCATTTGAATGGTCACACCATACGATTTTGTCCACAGACTCAAAAGTTAGAACTAGTGCTTTACATGTCTCCATAATTATTGACTGTGGAAGTGAAAGGGTTAATATTATTAATGTTCTTGTCATGACCATGACAACAAAATTGCTTTGACCTACCACATGTACATTTTTTTCTTTCACTGAAAATTTCTCCAAAATACAAAAGGAATTTGCTTACATACAAAATATGTAATTGAGCAGTATTTAAAAAGGAATATCAAAAGTTTTTGGAAGCCTCAGCAACGGCATTTTTTTAAATACAGGTTTAACTTATGAGGCTTTAACTGGAAAACAGAAACAGTCAGTACCACATTGTGAACAGGTGTTTTCAAAGGGTGTACTGGAGTTCATGCAAAGGAATGGCCATACTTCAGAGGCACACTTTGTTGAAACTGTTGAAACTGGCATAAGGCGGCAGATGGACGGGGACTATCAGAGGAAACACGGTCAAAGTATAACAATGACATGATCAATTTTCTGTTGACTGATTGGATGCCCTGGCATGAGTACGAAAGGGACTTTTCAACTATTGATGTCATGCGCCCTATAAAGGGTATTAAAGGTTTCACTAGAGAAATTGTGGTTGCTTTGATTGCGAACTCAGAAAGCCTTGAACTCCGTCGAGCAGAGTATCAAGAGAGGTTTGCCCCGAGCACCCGTGCAAGCAGCACAGATGACGTTGAAGGCTTCATTGCACATCTCCATGATCAACTTGGAGATGTGTTTGACCACAAGGAATTTTTAGAACAGCAACCCAAAATTCTAAATGAGTTTACCAAGAAGATAGACCCAGAGCTTCAATTTTACTACTGGACAGGACACCGACATCGATTCACAACTGCCCCACTGCCTTCCTTCAATGATGCATCAGGTCAAACAGAAAGATTGGACAGGGTTAGGTTGTCAAGACGTTCTGATCCAGGGGTTTTTGTGGCAAATAGGGCATCCTTGCCACAAAGAAATTCTCTGACAGTCAGGGCTTCATTTCACAGAGCACCAGAACAATTACCTCCACCACCAACAGTGTAGCATAAGTTTATTAACTTATAGTTTTGCATATTGATGTTAGCCTTAGTAAACTAAAATTGGGACAAAGATAATGCACTTTTCTAACTTATTTACATTTACACGTGTAAAGTTTTACTGGACTTTTCTTGAGGCCCTGACAACTTTGGAGCTCCAGGGTCCCTTTTAGTGATATTTAAGGTTACATAAAAGCCAACTAACAAGTAGTTTACTCTAAAGCGAATGCGTGCAACAGTTACTTTGATGTTGTTTCTTTCAATGATAGGGTGTATGTCACTTGTTAACTCTTTGGCAATGTAACCAACTTTGTTCCAACCACTACCACAGTTTATTAATACGGCTATTGCATTTTGGTCATAATCATTTTCAGGCTCTGGTTGGAGCTGCGCTTGTACATCATTTTGTTATTTTCCAAACACTCGTATGCATTTTTAAGGATAATTTGTCGTCCTTTATATGCAGTACCAAGTACTTTGAAAGGAACAGTATGCTCAATTTCTGAAGAATCGTTCTCCTCATTTGAATCATCAGAATCATCAGCATTAACAATTGAATGATCCTCCGGCTCTACTGGTTCAGACCGTCTAAATTCCCAAATGACCAAATATGTGATGTTTTCAACCACAATGTTACACCATTTTTGAGCAATGATTTCATCTCCACATTTTGTCCGTCCACTGTCATCAGCTTGGAATAGCGCAGGCCACCCTGTCCTTCTACCAGTTATAGAAACAGTTCCTTTTATAAATTCTATCGTCAGAACAGGGAATGACGGAATAGTCCACTCAATGTTATCTTGTCCAAGACTTGAAACTGTTAATGCCAGGTCTCTAGGCTGCCACAAACCCTTCTACAGAAAAATGGTTGTAATAAAAAGCATTCCTTATAGAGTACTAAAGTGATGACGTCATAAAAATGAAATTTCTGAAATTATGGGATTTGTCAGGGTATTCTGAAAGAACAATGTCCAAGAGACCTACTTGCCAAAAAATGAGCATTTTGGGGCAAATTGTCTCTGAGATCGTAGCCCAGTTATACTCAGAAAACTCCCTACAAACCCCCTCTAATTTTTTCTTGGCCCACCCAAAAATATTTAGAAGGGTTTGTATGGAATTTTGTAAGCATAACTAGGCTACGATCTCAGAGACAATTTGCCCCTCAAATGCTCATTTTTGGCAAGTAGGCCTCTTGGACATTGTTCTTTCAGAATACCCTGACAAATCCCATAATTTCAGAAATTTCATTTTTTATGACGTCACACCTTAGTACTCTATTTCATGCTGTATAAGTATTAGTATAAATTATGTAACTAAGTGCACTGCATGTGAATAGCTGTGATGAGCAAGCTTGTTTAGTATATTTCAATTAATAATGGTGTCCTTAGTTATTTTTTGTCTTTCTTCAGTTCTTTTTGGATTAAAGGAATGAAGAAGGAAGCATTTTCTTGAGAATTAGTTATTTGTCACATTCATGTGGGATGAACTGAAAAAGGCCAATGTTATAGCACATTTTTATTCCACAATAGAAACTAAATGATTGTAAATAAGCCACTTCTAAAAAACAACACATGGTCAAGAGTTTAGAAGGTCACTTGAGACTTCTCAGTATTTTATCTGTAATGTTTAAGTTAAAAGTTTTTCTGAATAAAAAATAGTTTAAAGATGTGATGCATACTCCGCTTTATCAGTTAATAAAATAGAAAGAATAAATTAGTTGTTAGCATATAATTTACCTTGATGGGAAGTGCAAAGGTATTCCTGATAGTTGTGCTCTCCCTGGGATCAACATTACCCACAGCAAGGTTAACTGCATACTCATTTGAGAGAAGGCTAATATGATATTAAGTAATCAACAAAACACAATAAATGGATTATTTTCTATCTTTGAAAAGCTAGTTTTTTAAAATGCATAAAATGATTTTCAAAAGACCGTGAAACAGTTACTAAGTTAGTAGGCACTAGTACACACTATTAGACATTAATTCCATGTTTTCTTTCTTTCATTGTTTTCATTGTTTTAGCTAATTTTGGCTAATTTTGATTAATTGCTAGATACTGTTTCACGGTCTCATGAAAATCACTCTAATGAAACTGTACAACAACTGACTATCTGATTTTACACAGTTTTCAGCACACCATCAATTCAAATCCAATTATTGTAAATTATTCCATGTGAATGCCATACAGCAAAAATTCTCAGGCTACTTTTTAAATACTTAATTTCGTTTATGAAAATATTTTTTAGAATAAGAAATTCTTTTAGAATAAGAAATTCTCGCGCCCAGACAATCATAGCAGATAAAAAACAGTGAGCAAGAGCACTTATAGTGAGTAATTATAATTACTTAAATTGGATACATTCCACAAGGGTTCAGAAAAGCTTCCTTATCTGGTGTTTGTCCCCAAGGCGTAAGTGGCATGGTTTCTGCATTTATAGGATTAATCACTGTCTGGTGACGAAATATTGCCTTGGCCCTTTGAAATCCACTACTGTAGTCTGACGGGCAAATCGATTTCTCTGTAAAACAGCTAAGAAATCTGTTTTT